AAGCATTAAGTTAAGTGCACCATTCATTCTGAAACCTGTATGACGTTATTTGGGAAGTCAGAAATGACTCATGGCTAGGCTATATTTATATCTAAAAAAGCATTGAAACGGATTCAAATTATATATTTTTTAATCTGTACAATGTTTCTGAAGTTGTAAAGTGTGAATCCTCATTTTAACGCTGTTTTAGCTGTATTAACATCCCATTATGAATTACAGACTCCTTGCAACCATGTGTAAAAGTTTTAGAACCTACCACGTCAGGAATTTAAGAACTGAATAACACTTACGTAGACATGGTTACTGATTGATTTTGTCACAACAGTGAATTTATAACAAGTTGACATAAGGTGGCTTAAAAAAGAAACTATGCCAGTATCTTGACATTTATCCCTGTGCTCCACAGACCACCAAATTGAAAAATTGAAATTTAATCCTATTTAATTTTGTTTCTTCTGTTAAACACAAAAGAAGATAATTTGAAGAATTAGCCTATCAAAATATCTCTCATTACTATGGAAAAGCTAATTCCTCTTTTTATATATAACTGATAACTGGCTACCATAAAAACACTTTTTTCAGAATGAAAGGGAATAGTTATGACTGAATTGCTTGTTGTGGTAACTTTGTTTTTAACATGTGAAAAGCATGTCGCAGAGCTTCCTTTTCTCTATAATGAAGCTCATCCACTTTTTAGGCACACTTGTTCAGCTGCTGTGTAATGTTAATGTGAAGTAAATGACGGGAGATCTTTCATTTTTGGGCGAGTTATCCCTTTGAAGCAAACATAACTTTACTGCTTGGTTTCTTCACGTCTGAAACAAGCTAAATAAACTTTAATTACCGTATAACAGACGTTATGCCACAAGATTCAGTCCACTGTGAATAATCCAGAATCGGCCATATTTCTAATTCCATACCCTTCTATATGGTGCTGTGTGGTTTGTGGATTACAGCACACATAACTTCTATTTTTGGCCAAAAGTGACTCGGATTCTAAAGAAGAATGACGTAACAAGTGTCCCCAGAGTCTCCAATCTGCCTGACGCACAGGTTTTCTTTGAAATTTACTCCCTGCAAAAATAAACTGAATGATTTATCCTACTTCCAAACTTTTTCTGAGCCAAAAGTAACATTTCATTTAGTAAAAATAACCGCAATGGACTACTTAATCTGAAAGCGTTAAGTGTACAAGCTTACGAGAATGAAGTTTGGGTCAGAGAAGTGGTGCTGGGCTGGGCTGTGTGTGGGCACGGGACGGTCGACCAGGTTCATGCAAAGTGTGTTGCATCAGGCCGGAAAAATGCTCCAGTCAGCCACCAGGACACTAATTACAGAGGACCTACGCTGAGCTCGACAGGAAGGACGTCAAAAGCCTGAGCATGGGGATGGAGGGGAAACAGACACAGAATTAAATAAGGCAAAGCAATGGAGTAAAGCAGCAGCAAACAACACATTAAAAATAGAAAGGTGGGAGTTTAGATGCAGACAGGGTGTGAACATTTTCTGAGGCATTATATTTACCTGCTCGTCTGCAGTACGTAATCTGCCAACAGTGGGCTTTAGAGATAATGAGTCTGGAACTGTAACAATGACCTTCCTACTCTCGCCAATCACAAGCTGCACACGAAACAAGCCTATTGAGACATGTAGAACATATGTAAGGTTTTGTTTCTTAAAAATGGATGGAGTTACTTTTGTAATCTCCATTTCGTCTCTAAGGGCATCCAAAGAGACTTGTAATTCTATATTGTGAAAGACTGCCTCCTTGTGGTATGTGAATAGATTACTGAAATGTGATACAAAAATTATAGTATGTTAATAATATTATTTAGTCTACACAAACAGTTTTGGGTGAGTCTGCTTTTATTCAGCAAGAACGCATTTAATTGATCAAAACTAACAGTAAAGAATTACAGAATATTTAGACTTTAAACATTTCCTCAGCTTCTACATCTCAAAGAACACCTAAAAAGCAATCAAATATTAATCAGCCAAAAACAAATAAGTTAAATTTACCTCAAAATGAGCACTAAACCTACATCAGGGGCACTGACGACTGGCATAAAGGCTCACAGAGTAAACATTTTAAATGCAATCAAATATACTTTGAATTTCAATATTGACATTTGGCAAATTGTCATTTATACTTTGTTTTGATTAAACAAATGTGGCCTTGGAAAGCAGAAGAGACATTACCAGCTCTAAACTTTGGAAGAGTCATAACCAATTTACAGTATATAAATCTAGGTTAATGTCAACCTTTAAATAATGTTCACAAAATGTTCATGTTTTAGCTTGACATTTATCATCTGTACATGAATTATTCATGGACAATAGTACATTTAAAAATGGTATCCAAGCTTGCAATTAAAAATGCAATCACACTAGTAGACGTAGTTGTACAGAAAAAAAAAATACTACACAACCAAACAGCTCATACCCTTATAAGCCATCTAAATTAGATATAAATTATACAGGCAGGTCAGCAACACCATGTTTATCAGACACATCATTTTGTGTTCCCTTGTTAACCAACAAACCAGTCAGCTTTGAGCCTGTGTCTAGACCTCAGGTTAATGTTATGTTTGACTAAAATACGTTGTTTTATTAAAACTAAAATGTAAAATCAATAAATCAAATAAAAGAGAATATACACACACACACACATATATATATATATATATATACACACACACATATATATATATATTATATATATATGCATGTGTGTATACTTATATACACACACACACACACACACACACATATATATATATATATATGTGTGTGTGTATGTATACGTGTATGTGTGTGTGTGTATGTATATATATATATATATATATATATATATATATATATATATATATATATATATATATATATATATATATATACATACATACACACACACATATATATATACACATACATGTATACATACATATATATATATATATATATACATACATATATATACATGTATATATAAACAAGATTTAAAATACCAGGCCAAAGAATTAAAGCTTCAACTATTTGCCCAAAGTCAAAAAACCCAATAAATATAAATCAAAACACAATCATGGTCTTTTTAAAGAATTTTATTTAAGAAAACAAGAGCAAAGTTGATAAACCAACTGCAAAGTATGTGTGGGAAAATCCATCACCTGAGCCCAAATTAGGTGCGTGCCATTTGAGCAGCTCTTCATAGTGTGAGAAATGCTTCTGCTGCTTCCAAAAGCTGAAAACCATTGCCTCTGTTGGCAGATGTCTTCAGCTGAGTGATTCTTGTACAGGCGGTACAGATGTTTCAATCACTACCGATGAGATCAATTCATTTGATTTAAAGATTGAGCTAAAATAATAATGGTGTCTGATAGATGCAGCTGTTGGTCAACTCTGTATGCTTATATATACACACACTTCTCTTTTCACATTTAATCTAGTATTGTAGTAATTTAATATATGCTCCGTTATCACCAAACCCGTTCAAACTTTGTAGGTTTTGTTTGGCTTCAGCAAACTGTTACACTGCCATACGAACCAACAGAAGATGAAGACGATGCACAAATTCTGGTCTGATTGGACTGCAATATGAATTCAATGCCAATCAGAGCCATCCAAAGAGCCAAAAACAAGAAAATTGATGCAACCAAAAATAACAGGATGCTCAAGTAATCAATCCTTTTCTTATATCCGTGTTTGTGTGCCTGCTGAAGGAATTCCTGATGTGGTTTTGACTTTACGTTTAAAAAGTATTTACACATTTTAAAAGCAGCAATTTCTTTTGTATGTGGTAATAAAATATGTCTTGACAGCCGTTCTGTTTATGTTTAGTGTGAACCCAAAGCACAGCAGGATGAAATGTTTTATTTTCTGTTCTGATCCATCCCATACATACCCCATTTAGTAGATCAGTAAACTTTCTGAAGCTCTAGAGGACTGTTCAAAATCAGTTTAGAGAGGTGTCTGTGAAGTAAGATCCTCTAAGGCTACATTTGTGCAGATCTTGATGGTCAACTCCAATTTTGTGACTGCATCCGATTTTTTTGACGACCAGCGTACATCATCCTTTAAAAGTGACTTGTATTCGATTGTGTGTATTTACACAGCACACGGCAAAATCACCAGAAAAAATGGGGGAAAATAAAGGAGGCGCTGACTGAGAGCTGATAATTAAAGAGCACTCTCTCAATTCATGCATTTAATCTGTTCGCAGGGTTTAATTTTTTTTTTTTTTTTTTGGATTTTATTAACACTTATGACAGAAAAAGTTATTTTGCCACCTTTTTAGTAATCTAGGCTTTTTAAGAGTGGGCATTTTAATGTAATGTCCAGAGTGATTCATGCATATGTTGTATAGAACGATTTTGTATTAGTTTATAGTAGATTCACTCTTGCACAAATTCTGTTTATTAATAAAAATCACATCCAATGTTGCAGCAAAAAAAGAAAGAAAAAAAAAAAAAAAAACAGCATTCAAGCTTTGAGGTATGAATGTAGAAAAATTTTGTTGTGCTCTCGTTAACATCCTTAAATACTTGTGCTATATGACAATATAAAGAATTTTTAGTGCAAGATACAAGGTTTGAGACTTTTTTGCTAATGTCTTCTGAAATGAAGCATCAGAGTTGACGTGATTCACTATGGTTTTTAATGATGCGTGACTCGTATTGACAGGTGTAAATCCGGTCTACCTGCTCACACTGCAGACACAAAGGCACAGATCCGATTCATATCTGATAAGTTTTCACATATGAACAAGGCCTGAATCTGATTTGAGCTTAAACGTACATGGGCCATATCTGATCTGCGACACATTGGAGAAAATAAAAAATTTAAATAAAAGAAAAAAAAAATCTAAATTCGGAATGGAGTCACTTAAATCATGCAGTGTAAATGCAGCCTAACGAAATTAAAGCAACAAGTCAGCTGCCTAAACTTTAGGACTTGCCTGTAAAATTCATAGTGGTCACAAAAGTTATCCCCATACAAGGAAAAACTGTTTTCAGTTCTTAGATGTAACCTTTTTATTATTTTTACATTCAGCACTTACAGGAGTAAACAAATTTAAAAAGAAAACAAAATGTCAGCTTTTAGGCTAAAACAATAAAAAATTTAAAACCAAATGTGAAAAGGTTAAATATGCATCCCATTCTCCATGGCAACCTGGTAACCGCTAAGGGGTGATGAAAGGCAGACGACAAGGAACAAAACGAAAAGAGATACAAGGAATGTGAGGGAAACAGAAGAGGAAAACAAAGTAGAAATCAGGACTTTCAGAGCATCCCAAAGGTAGCTTCGCTCCTTCAGATGAGTGTCGACGTGACACAAGAGGAGAAAGAGGATGTTGCCAAACCTGGATGTAATCTTGCAATCCGAGCCACTTATACTGGACGCTCATTAACACTGAGAAGGGGAAATGAATACCAGAAGTCTTAAAGCCAAGTCAAGAAACAACGAGACAAGTCTACATGGAGACACAGCACCACCGTGGTCCCATTGAGAGTGAGTGTGTGTGTGCACCTGTGTGTCTTTACGCAGAGTGTGTGCACGCACATGTGTGTTTGTATGAAGTCTGAGTTGGTCCTCAGGAGGGTAGGCATAGAGCTGTTACAGCACATACAAGAAAAGGGGATACAAACTGGACAGTTCCAGACGTCCTTTAGCGCCGTCGATCTCTGGGTGGAGGGTCACTGCGGCTCCGTGACCTTCTGCTGCCGCTCGCACTGTTTACCCCAGGCCTACGGTATCCCTCTTTCCGCTTGTCCCCCTCGCGCTCTCTTTCTCGACCCCTGTCTCGCTCTCGTTCTCTGTCTCGGCCCCTCTCACCTTCTCCTCCAGCAGTTCCGCTGGGTTTCATCCTCTCCCGCCGTTCCTCCTCACGTTTCTTACCCTCCTCCTCTTCCATCTCCTTTATCCTCTTCTCTCGTTCTCTCATGCGCTCTGCACGAGCCGCTGCCCTCTGTGCTGCCTGCAATGCAAAGTGTGATAGGAGATTAATATTTTATTCAGCAAACAAAAGGCTCAATCCCAATTCTACCCCTTACCCCTCATTTTGCGCATTCATGCGAAGGGGTAGGGGTGTCCCAATTCTCTTTAGCTTGAAGGCGTTGGGCTAATGGGAAACACTAGATAGCTCTTGAAATTGAGATTTTTCAAGACCACACTTGAAACCAAGGGGTATGAAGATTAAAACAGCAGCATGGCTGCACTAGTATTTTTTGTCACTATAATGCATTTTTTATAAAAAAAAAACAAGCACGTTTTAATACATTCATAACCATGTTCATGTTTTTATCATGCTCATTTAAAAAAACAAAAACAAATTAAAAATAAAACCCGCTAAATTTCGCTATCTATAATCCACAATAATAACTCATGTATAGCAGTCCCACAACATACTTTCACTTCATGACACTTAAATCCTGTCAGAATAGTCCGGTGGCTGATAATAAATTGTTTACAAAGTCTGCTGTAATGTTTGTTGTTTTTGTGCATTTACATAGATTAATATGGCCACGGGTTAAATACAGTACAGTTACGAGTTATTGCTGATTTATATTGTTCGGATAACAGGATATCGTTGCTTTCAGTGAGTACCTGAAGATAAATAACAAAATATAACAATTTCAATAACTTCAGCAGTTGCGATCGTCGATGTCATATGATGCAAGAGATTAGGATGACATAAGATGGCATGTGCAGGTGTTGTAGTGCGGTCCCATTTCTTAGGAGTACATTTTGAAGCCTGTGTTCACACTGTGCTTCAAGGGCCAAGGGGGAAGGGGAATGGGTAGGGATACAAAAATAGAATTGGGATTGGGCCTAAATAACTAAAATGTCCAAAGAACTGTACCTGCTCCTCAGTGAGGGGGAGCCAGTATATACACGGAGCAGCTTTGGTTTTACGGAAGAGGTCATCCAGAAGTTTAGCAGGTGGCTCCTCGGGCCCTTTTTCTAAAAAGGAAGAGGGAGGAAGTTAATAAAATTTAATTTTAAAAATAAAATGCTTTTGTGTTTACATCCCTTTGTGTTTACGGCAGCACTGGAATAATAAAAGTAAAAACACAAAATACACACGTCATGTTTTTTCAATGCAAAAATATACAAAACTATCATAATATTCCAACAGACATTTAATTAATACAGCAATTATATAAAATAATTGCATTAAGAACAAACTTACAAATACATTTGACCAAAACAAAGCCATGTATAGCAATACAATAAAAAACTACAATAATCCCAAAAACAACATTACTCCAATGCACAAAAGTAGTCCATGTACATTAAATTTTTCCTTACCCTTTTTATCAGCTTTCCTCTCTTTGCTCTTCCCCCTTTCTTTACGCCGCCTTTCACGATCTCGTGAGCGTGATCTTCTGGCTCCAGGTTCCCGGTCCTCTCCAGGTTTGCTGAAGTCTCTGACCTTATCTCTGTCCCACTCTCTTTCTGCACGTGCTCTCTCTCGCCTTTCCATTTCCCGTTCACGTTCTGCCCACTGGTCACGCTCTGGCAGGAGCGGCACTGGCATAGGACGGCCAGGCCCAGCAGCTGCAGCCCCACGGGCATCCTCTGGTGGCTTTTCTCCTGCTGGACCCAAACCCCTGTGGAAGTCCAACTAATGGGATGACGCAGAATTAGTTTCCAAAGGAATAAAAAGACTGTGGAAAAGATTTAAACCTAATATCCTATACCATCAAACGAAATGCTTACCTCATCTTGCGTACAGAAGTCAACACTGAGGAATTTAGGGTTACTCTGGGGCCATTTTACACCATGCAGTGCTGTACGCGTGGCCATAGCCTCTTCTGCACTAGAGTACTAAAGAAAAGCAAAGACAGTGAGTGGGTGAGCAACAATAAATGTATTTAAAAATCTGAATAAAAGATACTTGGAAATGCAGGGAAGAAGCTTACTGTGACATAACAGTGAGATTTAATCTTGTCAATCCAGAAACTTTCCTCCACTACAGTTCCTGTGCGGTTCAACAGCTCCTTTAACTGACCCAGGGTGAATGGCCTCACCTTAGAAACATCACAAATCAAGTCTGAGATCAACCATCCCAAGAGAATAAATCATTTTAAGACTGCAAATGGATTGTCTTTATAAGCGCAGCTGAAATGTCTATGCAATTAGCATATCTGAAACATTGTGTGTGAGTGTATATATACCAGGTTGCAGACATGGACGATATTAGACAGCTTGCCACGAGGAGGAGAGGGCTGTTTGGCTGTGCGGACAGGATCATCAATTGTGATGCTCACACCTGACTTCTGCTGGCTAATGGAACGGCGAATACGAGTGTCACTGGGAGAGACTGAGAATAAGAAGCAAAAAAGGAGAAAATGGCTGAGAAATGATTCATAATAACAACATACTCTGCTATAAGTGAAAGAATACCCTCTCTAGTTTTGATTGCATGTTTTGTGACTACGTGTTTGTCTCTTTTTTGTTTTCTTCTATATTGTCTTTTGTATGCCTACAGTATGAGCCAATGTTTGTTCTTGTTCTGTGTGTGTATATATAAAGAACATAAAATTAAAAAAAAGAAAGAAAAAAAAAAGAAAGTGGATCAAGAACCATTAGATCAGGGGTGGGCAAACTCGGTCCTGGAGGGCCGGTGTCCTGCACAGTTTAGCTCAAACTCTAATCAAACACACCTGTTTATAGATTTCTAGTGATCTTGAGGACACTGATTACCATGTTCAGGTATGTTTGATTAGTGTTGGAGCTAAACTGTGCAGGACACCAGGCCTCCAGGACCAAGTTTGCCCACCCCTGCATTAGATCCTAAGGATTCTACTACCTAAACTTAAACAGATTCTTCCATCCAAAACTTACATAAAATCCACACTAGTGCGCTGAGGGGGAAAAAAAAACATGAATTGTTATTCAGTAATTCTCACCTGTCTTCATATCAACATCTCGCCCAGGGGAAGATGGCTCTGTCTCCATGGAAACCTGAAGTGAGCCTTCAGTTTTTTCCTCCGGGCTAATTCGGTCTCGCTCTTCAGTTGTTTCTTCCTCATCCTCATGATCACTTCTTTTGGATTCTTTCTGTCCATTTTCTTGAGTTTCTGAGGGTACAATCTGTTTTACAAGAAACATCAGTTAATTACCATTACTACAACACAAGCTTATGCTTACAGGAATAACACGCACCTGTGTTACAGTTCGCCTGATTTTCAGGTCGTGGTCACTTCTTTCTCCACCTTCCTCTTCCCCAGAAAGATGCATCTCCTCTGGATGCAGGTCTAAAACTGCCTCCTGGCCCACGCTAGGCTTGATGTCTGGTATTAAAGACTGTAAAGAGTGAAGAATATATTATGGTACTCTTCGTTAAATGAAAGATCCAGGAACAGACTTTTGGAAGGGAATTTTTTTTTCCATCCTAAAACTCATTTTTATTTCATATTTCTCTGACCTTCAAAGAGTCTGTGGTGATGCTGATGGAGGGTTTCTTGGCAGTGACAGCTGTACTGGAGCCCCATCTCCTCTTCCTGCCAGCACCAGCACTGCTTGCGGTCTCTGCTTCCCCCTCTGAACTCCCCACCCCAGGAGACGCTTTGCTGCCTAAGGAAAGACAGCATAAGGCCGTCATTATCACCACTGATTTTAAAGTATCTTCAGCTTTTTAGATTTCACACTTTCTGTTGTGTTCTAAAATAATTATTATGTAATAAAATCATTGCCATCCAAGAGATTCAGGTCTATAAGCCGTTTTTCTTGGATAGAAATTAATACTCAGCATTAACAACACATCAGAAGCAACATCATGTAAAAGATTTCAGTTTCAAAAGCACTTCACATTAACTTACTGAACGTCTTGAAAAGGTTCGAACTTCTAAAAACAGTTTGAAAAGCAAGTCACAAAACTATTTTATTTTTGGAAACATTCCTAAAAAATATTACTACTATGACACTGAGCATATAAATGCCTTGGTGAGCATTACATCTCATAGTGACATGCACATTTTTAAATAGTAGTTTCCCTGCAAATTAAGCAGTTAAGAAAAAGCATGGAGTTACTCACTGCTAATGGAAATCCTTCTGGCTGAGAAGGTCTTTGCCATGGTGCTCTGAAAGAGAAAAAACATACCCAAACCAGGAAAAAAAGGTGAGATAGAATATATGGAGTGAGAAAAAAGGGAAATTGTGTTCATGTACGAGGAAGATAAGACTGAACAACAGGGACGTGAGCCATCAACATGAAACTGGGTAGAGATCTATTTTAGGAAAGACCACCTCTTCAGTCAGATACACACTGTGCATGTACATCATGCGGACAGAATTTTAAAAGTCCTATTTCTGCTATGAAGATGTGGTCTTGTCCTCTCCTACACAAAAAGATTTTCTTAAAGGCCGCGCTGCAGTTATTTATCGCAATCAGCAGCCCCCTGGGGACTCAAATACTCTTTGATTTAGTTACTTTAATGGATTTTAAAAAATAAACAGTTTCATGCTAGCCTAGCATTGGCCTTCTAAACATGTATACATATATTGGTCTAGTTTTTATTCTGTAGTCAATAGCTCCATTTAGGGTTACCAGGGAGTCTGGGCACATATTTGCAAATTTTAGGCAAAACATTTGAAGTAGAAAATGGAGAATGACTACTTAATTTCCCGGTACCATTGACACATGTTCTTCACTGGGTTGGGAATGGCCCAATCGCACGTCTGCATGTACTGTATCTAGGCAACAACAGTCCAATGAAAAGAAGGCTGGAAGTTTGAGATCTGAGAGCAGCAGGCTGGTAGAAGAGCTCTTATGTGGAACAATGTGGGTGCTCTGAGTGTCTTTTTTTTGAAGTCCATCGTATTGGCATGAAACCGTTACGTGGGATGAGTCTTTTAAAAGCACTGGTGAGAAATTGTTCAGAAGACCGAGTCTGAGTCACTTCACAATCACATCCGGTTTATTTGTGAGGTTATCCAAGATTTGAGGGATACCGCAATTGGCTCCTGGCTGTTCAGGATGAATGAAGCCGTTTCAATCAAGCAGCCACAAAACAAAGTCCAGTTTTTGAACTAAAAGTTATGTTTGATTGGGTAAGTCCACAAAAACGAGAGAGCTGTAAAATCCAGCACATCCAGCTGTCATTAGAGTCCGAATTCCCTTGGCAAATAAGGCGCATCTTTCTTTTTCCTTCACAAGACAGTGACAAACTAGTCCCATTATGTAATCGAAAAAACAGCACAATCACCGGAGAACCATTTTCACCAAAACAGTCCAGAAACATGACTAGAAGTAGTCCGTTTATCTGCTTATGTATCTTATTTCCAATCTTGCTGCCACCGTGAGCCAAACTGAGAAAGGCTCGTGAGACACCCGGCGATACGTCACACCCACATCACTCAGCCTTTCATTATCAGTCCAATCAACTGGCTCTCCCAGCCAATGCCACTTTGGAAATGTGGCCATTGTTGCCTGATGTGTTGCACTGTAGAGCAGACTCAAGGGCCTGTCAGGTAAAGCCATGGCGCTTGCAGACAGTTGAACAGGAGATGTAGTAGAAGTAGTAGCTGTATGCTGGTACCAATAAGGGCAATGGAAGAGGCATGAGCACCTTTACAACAAAGCAATCAAGGGGGTTTTAAACATCAGCCAAAGTGAGAGAGAGAGAGAGAGAGGCCCCTGCTGCTTCTGTCTAGGACAGCTTCAGCAAAGGTTCACACAACATCATCTGTGTCCACAAAAAGAGGGCAAATAACATTAAGCTGCTAAATTAGCTTCTGATTTAAATTACAATTGAAAATGATTGATAATGGCAGCAAGTGCCTGTGATAATATATTTTTTTAAAAAAACAAACAACAGGGAAGGCCCTTTATTAAATGTTGTTTGCCTCTTTACATGGAGGATATCTGGCGAATGATAGAGTTGGCTGAGGCCAGCACTCCTCTGTGCTCTTACCTCCTCGCCACTTTCTGAAACCTTCTCAGGCTCTGACATGACAGCCTCCTTCACCTCACTTCTGAAAAAGACAGGAATAAAAAGCACAGAAGGGGGAGGGAAAGTATGTAAAGAATTAGTCTTGAATAGTTACAGCCACCGTACAATTATGTTTGACTTTTAAAGAATTTTTTTAAAAATTAAGACTCTTTCACCATTCATTGCAAGAAAAAATGAATGAAGACTGAGATTAATTACTGTTTTAGCATGTCCTACTGTAAAAGTATAAACTTAAAATAAAGAAAAAAGACAGGAAACACAATTCATCAATACATTACCTAAATGCGAATGACCAAGGCGAACACAATGAGTTGTATTAGAAGGAATTTAAAAGACAAGTTTGAAAAATAATTAATAAAAATAATGTAATTAATAATAAAATAAAAAAATAATAAAATTAAAAAGAAATAAAAAATTAATAAACTAGCAACAAATTTGTCACTTTTTATACTTAGGTTTACCTAGAATATAAAAATACTTAGTTTTATGTTAGCTTCTGATCACACTGCACAACAGTAATGCTTCAGTTTTTCTGATTAATACATTACCTGTCTTGTTTGACTTGTAAAAGTCTTGTTTTCAAAACTCAATTTTAATATGACAATTCTGTATTTCAAACACATTCATTTCGATTGCAGTATGTGTATATAGTTATACTAAAAACCAAAGCAAAAAAAATTATTTGTTGAAGGGTAATTTTAGATCCGCAGAAACCCTGTTAATATTCTGATAAACATGCCATTTTGAATAAAGTTGTAATTCAGGTTGAAAAAACACGAGTTAATAAACAACTAAATTTTTATTTGTGCACTTTCCAATTAAATTACTCCTTTAAATTATTAAAGATAGATCTACTTAATCTAATAGACGAGGGAAACTAAACATTATTCATAACAACAAGCAGGAAATTTCAAAACACAAATCAATAACAGAGTTAATAAATCACCTTCACAGACACCCGCACTAATTACAAACCTGCTTTTACAAGACACAACAGCTCCAGAAAAATACTAATTCTGTGTTATATCTATAACCTTGCAAATGAAGTTTCTCATTGACCTCCAAATTAAAGCTCCAGGCTACATGTCGACTAAACGCAGAGCTCATCCCGCAGAGTGGAGTGAAGCGCGTGGCGAAGATCAAACGTTTCACTTTTTCATTCCTTCAAAGATCGTTCAAACGACAGACAAAACTAGAGAAAGCACGAGTCGATCCAATTAAAGTGCGTCCCGATAGTAACACAGCACTAGCACATAAAGAGAGAGAAAACGCTCCGCCGCATTGTGGGATGCGAGTGCACGAGCATCATCTGCTTTTCCTCCCCGTCGAGCAGCACAGCGAGATCGCAGTCCTGCCAGTGCCTCCCTAATTACTATAAACGGACAGGACTTCGCAAATTCACTGAACAAGGCTCGTCTAAAGCTAACTGGACACCTTGAGCCCAGTGTTATTGGTCAAACACGCAGTACAGCCATGTTTAGATAAGAGAATGGGAGGTGCGCGAGACTCACTGCAGCAGGACCCCATTATCACCGGCTGTGAGGCAGCCGCACTGATTGCCTGTCTGTAATCCACAAATAACTCTCTCTTAAAATGACATGGAATCAAACAAGCTACTTAAAGATAACTTAGCGTTACTAGAGCACGGATAATGTCTCAAACCCTTGTGTTTTTAAGCTGTGACATATTGTGTCGCTCAGTAAAGTGTTATTCGTTAGATGAAGCACTACATGTATGTCATTACAAGAAACTTAAAAACTAATTTACCCATGTACCGGTTTTCTGTAATTGAACAGATTTGTTGTGACACACGTTAAACTTTGTTAGACAAACTGCTGGTTTTATAAGTATTTGTTTTCTTTTCCCGTAGTTAAAAGACATATTTGAAAAAAAACAGTCAACACCAATATGCAAATTAGTTAAAGGGACAGCTCACCCAAAAAAATGAAAATTGCCATCAGACAATGAGCTTTATGCACAGCTAGTGTTTTTCAGCCAATGATAAACCTCTGGTGAAAGCTTAATGTGACTATTTTTAATTTCATAAGGTTGCCTTTACAACATTGCTGTTGTAATGTAATTACAATGCATTAAGTTAAATAGACTTAAGCACTCATTTAGTTGTTCAAGCATAAAACGAGATTTAACAAGACAGTGTAACTGCTAGTGCCACCAGGATCAGCAGGCTAGCCCAAAAATATAATTTCTGTCTTCCTGTAATGACGTATTCGTGGCCTTGAAATCACACATTAGCTGATGCACTTTACTACCGAGAGGATGCGTGTGTGCCCTCCAATAAAGTCTACTTTAGCGAACAGAACCCGCATAGGCTGTGAATAAAAGCTAAAGTTGTAAATAACGTTCAGTTTCTTGTAAACTGAACTCAAAGTGATGGCAGCCATAAGAAGAGCACACTCAGCAATGAAAGTTCATCTTTTCATCAAGGACATCATTTAAATGATCAAATCACATTTAAAAAGGTTATGATTACAACAAGCATTTGAAGGTTTGTCTTTCACAGTGAACACAAAGTGCTGTGCACGAGAATAAATGTTTAACAGAGTCAGAATAACTACTGTAGCCTATATAATACAAGAGGGAATCTGATAATGACAAATGTCTGATTTTACCAGCGAAATAAAATGGTCTAATAATGTTGTCAATGACATATGGCAAGCATATGTCTCAAACATAATAATTTAACTTAAGAACTAATAATAGTTGTATTCTGATGTCCTCACTTTAGTGTGAATTAACAACCAGGACATATTTAAAGTCTGTTCAAGTCCACCATTTTAAGCAAGTGTATCTGTCTGCGGACTGCAAGACGGGGGCGTAAGATGAAAGGGTGTAACTTGAAGTTAGAGGCATAACTTGATGTTACAAAGATTGGCAAGATGGTGAAAAAACTTACCAGATAACATTTTCATCAAATCTTTTCATGAGATTTCTACAAATTTATCCACAACCAATTTATTCAATATATTATTATATTCATTCATTTAGTAACTCATGCAACTTCACACGCTGACTTCATCTGTTTTGTCATGACAGTTAGCCTACTCTGTCACCGCCTGTAGTTGCAAATAACAGTACAATGGCGAGCATGTCAAGAACGAAAGCCTCCACAACTTGCGCTGTACTTTAATAACTGTGATGGTTGGGTTTAGGTTTAGGGAAGGTGTAGATATTCATAACTGATAGTTGGGTTTAGGTTTAGGGAAGGTGTAGACGTTTATAATTGTGATGGTTGGGTTTAGGGAAGGTGTAGACATTCATAACTGATAGTTGGGTTTAGGGAAGGTGTAGACATTTATAATTGCGATGGTTGGGTTTAGGTTTAGGGAAGGTGTAGACATTCATAACTGATAGTTGGGTTTAGGTTTAGGGAAGGTGTAGACATTCATAACTGATAGTTGGGTTTAGGGAAGCTGTAGACATTTATAATTGCGATGGTTGGGTTTAGGTTTAGGGAAGGTGTAGACATTCATAACTGATAGTTGGGTTTAGGTTTAGGGAAGGTGTAGACATTCATAACTGATAGTTGGGTTTAGGGAAGGTGTAGACATTTATAATTGTGATGGTTGGGTTTAGGTTTAGGGAAGGTGTAGACATTCATAACTGATAGTTGGGTTTAGGGAAGGTGTAGACATTTATAATTGCGATGGTTGGGTTTAGGTTTAGGGAAGGTGTAGACATTCATAACTGATAGTTGGGTTTAGGTTTAGGGAAGGTGTAGACATTCATAACTGATAGTTGGGTTTAGGGAAGGTGTAGACATTTATAATTGTGATGGTTGGGTTTAGGTTTAGGGAAGGTGTAGACATTCATAACTGATAGTTGGGTTTAGGGAAGGTGTAGATGTTAACTGTGACAGTTGGGTTTAGGGAAGGTGTAGACGTTTATAATTGTGATGGCTGGGTTTAGGTTTAGGGAAGGTGTAGACGTTTATTATTGTGATGTAGACATTTATTATTGTGATGGTTCAGTTTAGGGAAGGTGTAGACATTTATAATTGCGATGGTTGGGTTTAGGTTTAGGGAAGGTGTAGACGTTTATTATTGTGATGGTTGGGTTTAGTTAAGGTGTAGATGTTAATAACTGATTTACAGTGCCATCTTGCCGACAAGTTTCACCTCTAAGGCACCGTCATGTTACGCCTGTCTTGCAGTCGGCAAATAGACACTACTCATTCCAAGTCTATACAAAATGTAGCATTTTAACCCACAGAAGACCTATACAGACTTGGGGGAAAAAAAAAAAAAAAAAAGATAGCCTACTAATATTAACATTTTTTACATCTACAGATTCAGGAGAAAATAGCAATCTTGATTAAGCAAAGAATTGCTAAAAATATCCTAATTTTACCCAGAATCTTGCAGCCCTACTTTACACATTCACATACGTAAACAGATTCTGAACAGAAACTGGCAGTACTTATAGGCACTAAAATAGATGGAGGCCAGGTTGACCTATCGAAGCAATGGACAAAGCGGACCATGCTTTCCATTATAATGTCTATAGGCAGTATGTCAAATGTACAGACACACAAAACAGCAGGAGGGCAGAGGTGCGGCAGTCACTGAATCCAGCATAGGGATTCTCAACTGTCCAATTCATACTGCATTATATTATGTCTGTACTCAGCTTTTGGCTTGTACGGTGACTCTGAACTGTCAAAACGCCTCTCAAAGATATACATTCTGTTATTGCTTTCACTACACTTCTAGCAAGACGTTTAATATGGTGGAAGTGGAAAAGGGTATGTGAGTATGAGTTTCCCCTCACAGTTAACTTTGATATATCTGGAAGGTTTTGTGAATTCAAGACTGTATTAAGAGGCACCTCTTTTGTACATTCCTTTTTTATGTTGCCAAGCCTGTCATGTTAAATGATAACATGAACTGAACAAATCTAGTACAAATAGTTTCCTCACTGTTAACTCAGAAAGTCTGGAACGATATACATTTTACTTTTATTAAGTTTTTTGTCTTTCAATGCTGTGGTTGTGGTAGGGGAGGGGTAATGTACTGCTTTAAAATTGCAAAGACTCAATAAATAAATATTACAAAAAAACAAAAAAAAACTCTCAAAGTGCCTTTTCTGGTGTGTAAGGTAGAAGGAAAAAAAGGGTTAGAATTTTTCACGACGGACAGTTACAGAGGCAGTGTGTCAATACGACTGACACAACGTGAGGTCGATTTAATTTTTTACTTGCGAAAATTACCACCAAAATTTTCTAATTCAGTGTGCAATAACCTTAAGTATTCATAAAATTGATGCTGGGTTATTGTATATTGTAGGCATACTTGCTTAATTCTGGAAACACAGTTCTTAAAACTGTAAATCACATGCTTTTAGATTAACTCTCCCCATAATGAGCAAACATCTGTACTTTGATAACTATCCTTATAGCAGCATGTATATTCAACAGCTCATTTCAGGTGCACTTCAAGTATAATCAAAGTAGAATACAGACAGACCTGGTAGTGTCTTTGTTAGTGTCAGCATCTTCCTCAATATCCTCCTTTGTCTCCTTTCCATCCTGTAGGTCAAGACAAGGTTTCTAAAGTGTATAGAAAAGAAAAGACACATTTTAATGAAACTTGAAGATGGCAATATAAGAGAAAGCTTGACACACTTGATGTGGTCAGAGTTTCTGACTTTCTTTTCCTCCAAATGCACTGGTCTGGTTTTCCACTTAATTCCCACCTTAGTCATTTAATTCATGAAAAAAAAAAAAAATTCACAACATATTTTAAACTAAAATCCCAGTGTGAATATAATTTTACCAGAAGTTAGCTGCTTACTGACCTTGTTTTGGATGACTTCGTTGTTCACATCTTTCTCCTCTTTCTCTGTAAAGACTCGTTTTTTGCGCTGAGGTGCAGGAGGGTTTTCAGCCACAGTTTGACAAACTTTTTCTGTGGGCTGAGATGAAGAATCCCTTTTGACCTCTTCAGACTGAGGAAGATAAAATGTAAACATTTATAGATACATTTCAGAGAATCATAAACACATTCACACTATGAATTAAAAGTATGTACCATCATTTTCTACAAGGACACTTTAAAATAGAAACAAAACACATTTTTATTTGTTATATGGTGGAGTAGAGAATGTGTTGGACTCCCACACCGAACACTTGTTTTTAATCTTGGTCTATCCAGCAAAGAAATGTATACATTTTTATGGTCATCTCCTCAGTTAAAATGTGGTCGTCTCAAGTATGTACGCCATTTTCACTCGAGAAACTCACCTATGACATGCATCAAAAGCCAGACTACTTTTAGCAGCTATGGACATCTTTTTGACATTACATTAATAATTTCTTCTGATTTTATACTCTATGGGGTATATTTTAGCTTCTAGCCTAACTGTATTATCCTGTTAACTTGTTTGGATATTTCCATTTTTTTTCCTACTGTATAGCAGAGACTGTATTTGTATGTGCTGATGTATTAAGGGCACACTCACACTATAGCAGAGACTGTATTTGTATGTGCTGATGTATTAAGGGCACACTCACACTATGCTATCCAAACCGTGCCCAGGTGCGTTTCCCAGATCGCTTGAGAAGTGTGAGTGCTCTGAATCGGGCTCAGGGACATTTCAGTTGGCCGGCCCTGGCCCGGTTTGAAGAGGTGTGCCAGAGCACGGTTCACTTAGGCTTTGGTGCGGTACGCTTGTAGTGTAAGTGCAAAGCGCGTCTGAGACCGAAACTCAAGACGAGACGTGACTTTTAAGGGACATAAAATTCTTAAAGGGACTTCATTCTTAAATTTTCAATGAACGCAAACTGTCGTAGTTTATTAAAGACGCAAATCCCTTGCTGCACATCAGCTACACCCTCAGCAAACGTCCTAATACCTGCAGCACAAGGACTTTAAAAATAATTTATAAGCGTCAAAAATTGTGGATCTGTTCGGCAACATATTTGACTGTGTGTTACTGCATCCAAAATAAAAAATATATATATAAAAATGATACAACTAAAGCAATCTCTACTGTGCTGAGCGAGAGCGCTTCTTGTCCTGTTAAACTGAACAGCCACATCATCCATGACGCAAGCGTGCTCAGGTTTGGTATGTAAAAATGCAATGTGAGTGCAGGCCGAGGAGAAAAGGGGAGGGAGGACAACTGTGCTTTGGCACGGTTCAAGGCAACTGTACCTAATGTGAGTACGCCCTATGATGGGTCCCATACTTGGTCCTGGAGGGCAGGTGTCATGCAAAGTTTAACCCCAATCAGACATAGCTGGGCTAGCCTCTACTAGGCTTTCTAGAAACATCTTTGCAGGTGTGTTGAGGCAAGTTAGAGCTAAAATCTGCAGGACACTGGCACTCCAGGACCAAGTTTGAAGACCCCTGTAATGAAATAACTTGCGATTAAATTTTTAAAAAGTTTTTTAAAGTATGCACCAAGTAGAAAGTTGGGCTGGGCGATAAAATCGGTATCGATATTTGACCAAACACCATTGTCAATATGGATAAAAAAGATTCTGTATGTAGTTTCGGTATGAAGCGCTAGTTTTATTAAAATGTGGCTGCTGAGCGTGCGCACCTTGGAAGCAATGCCAATAAGCTTAGGGTGTCAGTTTGTCATTTCCAATGGGGATGTTGTGCAAGTGGCGTTCACATGCACACTCTTTTCTGAATGCCGCGAGTGCACCGCGACTCATGCAAGTAGAACTAACCAATCTGCTTCACACTTTGTATGGAACATCACCATTGCAATAACGGCAGACTTATTACCTCAAACAAGCACAGTACATTCAAACACTGCAGTGCTTTTTAATTTTCTCCATAAACTTGCATCAGAGCTGCAGCAATGGGTTGTCCATTTGTCATCTTCTGAGAAAATGGTTGATAGCCACCTAGTTTTAAGAGACGCCAAGGGAAAGGGAGCGCAAAGTCCATTGTCAATGGTCCATGCGTTACTTCAGGTCAAAGTAACAAATGAGTTTGGTAGCTAGCAGCAGTGAGGAGATTGAGCCTTTGGTTTCTTTTTGGTTTCTTTTCTTGTGCATTTTTTTTAACATAGAGGTAATAAGTCATTCAATTTCACAATTTGTTATATTGCAATATGTATTTAAATAAAGATGGTTTACTGTATCATTATTATTCGCAACTTAAAGTTTATTTTGATCGTTCAGTTTTTTACCATTGATCACACTTTCTAACATTTTATTTATTAGGTTTAAGAGTCTCTTTAACACTTATGTTTATTTTATTATAAAGAGAAGAGAAGAGATATTTTGTTAGAATATTTATTTTTGACTATTAAAACTATTTGCCTTAGTAATTTTAGTATATTAAAAAATGTTGCTAAATAAAGAAAAATCCTAATATTCAATAGTTATTGATATCAAATAATATAAAACATGATATTGTGATATTTTTTTTGCAATATTGCCCAGCCCTAAGTGAAAACTCAATTGTTACAGGAAACCTAATTTATTTACTGAAAAAACAAATAAAAACACTGAAATTGTCCTGCTTACAATGAGAGTCTATGGGTCAAAGCACCCCGTTTTGGCCCCATAGGCTTCCATTGTCTGTGGACATTTGTGTGGGGTCAACAAAAGCTGACAAACTCCTTTAAGTTTTAACTGTTGTAGTGCAGTAGTTTGCAATCCACTCAGTATTGGAAGTTTAACCATGCAAAACAAACATGGAAGACAAAAGACATTGCAACTGACAAGGATAATAAGATGGAATCATACAATGCAAAAATGCCTAATAGTTTAACAAATGGTCTTAACAATAAGTTCATGCAATTCTATATCAGGTCTCTGATGCTCTTCTAATGTTAAAAGATACATTGACACTCATCAGCATTATCTCCAGTTTTGAAAAAAAAAAAAAAAAGAGCAAGACTGACAAGATGTGGCACCTTTGGACAACTCACCCTCCTACCACCTGATGCGGAACAGCTTTTTTCCTCCTCTGATGAAGATGATGATGATGATGATGACGAAGAACTGGAGGAGCGTGAGGATGAGGATCCAGAATCCGAGTCAGATGAGGAGGTATTACTGGAGGATGATGACTTTCTTTCTTTTTTCTCCACCTTCTTTTCCCTTGCCCGTCCTCTTTTCTTCTCTTCTTCTGGCGTTGAAGATTTCTTCACATCCTCAACTCCTGTGAGCGTTTTATGTTTAGTGTCTTTGCTTGCTTCGCTGTCCTCTGACGTCTGAATATTTTCTTGTGGTACACTTTGTTTGACAGCCACCTCAGGAGTCTTTCTTTCAAGGTCATGGGGTCCTGAAGTCAAGACTGATGTTTGAGGTGCCTGAGCAGCATCTTCTTGCACTGGTTCTTTAGATTTAGAATCTGTTGGAATTGAGGGGGCACGTGGCTGCGGGCTGTCTGAAAAAGTGCGAGGTCTCTTTAGCACAGAACCCACAGAAGACGGGAGAGGAGCCATCACAGGAGCATCTCTAAGGAAACGAGACTTCTTGGAGGAAGATTGATGGGACAGTGGTGTTGCAAGTGTGGGTGACTGTTGTGGGACAGGCTCTGATGACTGAACATCTTTGCTGATGCTTGGATTTTCTCCAGGCTCACTCTCATCTGACTTCTTAGGTGAACTCTTGGGAGAACCAGGATGGACCACTGGATGGGAAAACTCACCACTATCACGGCCACACTTCCGTGGATGAAGATGGCTTTCTTTTTCCTCCTCTTTTTCATGTTTCAATGCCTTTCCTTTTTCCTCTTCCACACTTTTTTGCTTCAAAAGTTTTTCCCTTTTCTCCTCTTTTAAAGCTCTCTCCTGCTCCTCTTTCTGTTTTTCCAATGCTTGCTTTTGCTCCTCTTCTTTTTTCCTCTCTGCCTCTCTCTCATGCTCAAGAGCTTGTTCTTTCTGCAGGCGTTCTTCTTCCAAAGCTTTTTCCTTCTCAAGTCTTTCTTGCTCCTGTTTTTTAAGTTCCAGAGCAGCTTCTCTTTCTTTTTCTAAAGCCCTCTCTTTCTCCAGCCTTTCCTGTTCTTTTCGCTCCTTTTCTAAAGTTTCCTCTCTTTCTCGCTCCTCTTTCTCCTGCCTTTCTCTTTCTATGGCTTGTTCTCGTTCATTTCTTTCCTTCTCAAGACGCTCTTTCTCCAATCTCTCCCTTTCTAGAGCTTCTTTTTCTCTTTTTTCCTTTTCAATATGCTCTTTCTCCAATCTTTCCCTTTCTAGGGCTTGTTCTCGTTCTTGTTTTTCCTTCTCAAGCTTTTCCAATTTCTCTCTCTCTAGAGTTTCTTGCTCTTTTCTTTCCTTTTCGAGACGCTCTTTCTCCAGTCTTTCCCTTTCTAGAGCTTGTTCTTGTTTTTCCTTCTCAAGCTTTTCCTTTTCCAATCTCTCTCGCTCTAGAGCTTTTTCTTGTTCTTTTCTTTCTTTCTCAAGACGCTCTTTCTCCAGTCTTTCCCTTTCTAGAGCTTGTTCTTGTTTTTCCTTCTCAAGCTTCTCTTTTTCCAATCTCTCCCTCTCTAGAGCTTCTTCTTGTTCTTTTCTTTCCTTCTCAAGGCGCTCCTTCTCCAATCTCTCCCTTTCTAGAACTTCTTTTTCTTGTCTTTCCTTCTCAAGACGCTCTTTCTCCAATCTCTCCCTCTCTAGAGCTTCTTCTTTTTCTCTTTTTTCCTTCTCCAGACGCTCTTTCTTCAATCTTTCCCTCTCTAGAGCTTCTTCTTTTTCTCTTTTTTCCTTCTCAAGACGCTCTTTCTCCAATCTCTCCCTCTCTAGAGCTTCTTCTTTTTCTCTTTTTTCCTTCTCAATACGCTCTTTTTCCAATCTCTCCCTTTCTAGAGCAGCTTCTTTTTCTCTTTTTTCCTTCTCAAGACGCTCTTTCTCCAATCTCTCCCTCTCTACAGCTTCTTTTTCTTGTCTTTCCTTCTCAAGGCGCTCTTTCTCAAGAGCTTCTTTTTTTTCTTTCTCAAGACGCTCTTTCTTCAATCTCTCCCTCTCTTGAGCTTCCTCTTTTTCTCTTTTTTCCTTCTCAAGACGCTCTTTCTCCAATCTCTCCCTCTCTAGAGCTTCTTCTTTTTCTCTTTTTTCCTTCTCAATACGCTCTTTTTCCAATCTCTCCCTTTCTAGAGCAGCTTCTTTTTCTTTTTTTTCCTTCTCAAGACGTTCTTTCTCCAATCTCTCCCTCTCTAGAGCAGCTTCTTTTTCTCTTCTTTCCTTCTCAAGCCACTCTCTCTCCAATCTCTCCTTTTCTAGAGCTTCTTCTCGTTCTTGTCTTTCCTTTTCAAGCCGTTCTCTTTCTAATCTCTCCCTCTCTAGAGCTTCTTCTCGTTCTTGTCTTTCTTTCTCAAGTCTTTCCTGCTTGAGTCTCTCCCTCTCTAAAGCTTGCTCTTTTTCTTGTCTTTCCTTCTCCACCCTCTCTTTTTCTTGCCTCTCTCGTTCGAGTCGTTCTTGCTCTAATGCTCTCTCTCTTTCTAAAGCTTGTTCCCTCTCCAGTCTCTCCTTCTCTTCCCTTTCTCGCTGTAAAGCCCTCTCCTTCTCACGTTTCGAAGCAGCTTCAAGTCTTTTCCGTTCCAAAGCTTGTGCTCGCTCCTTTTCCAATGCCTTCTCCCTTTCCTCCTCCTCTTTCTCTAGGGCTTTCAGCCTCTCTTGTTCTTGCTCCCATAAAACACCTTCATCCTGCTTTATGCCATCGCTTGCTTCCATCACAGCGGCTCTAACGACACTAACACCTTGGTTGGAGATGACTGAACTAGGGTGTGAGAGAACTGACGATGCATTAGCTGTGTGTGTAATTGCGGATACAACTCCCTCTTGGTGGCTTCTTTGTAAATCCACTCCTTCCCTATCACGCTTTCCTGCTCCAGAACAAGCCCTCTCAGATGCCATCTTGCGTGCCAGTAAGGTTAACGGACCTGGTCTGCGTTCTGTGGTGTCACTTGCTGGTTCAGGACTACTGCTACGACTGTCACTACTGGAACTACCAGAACTCGAAGAGCTAGATATGCGCTGTCTAGACGGGGACTCTCCAGGACTAGGAGGACTCTGTTTAGGGGTGTCTGGGAGTGGGAAAGAAAGTTCAGGAGGAGGGGATGGGGGAGGAGTTGGATGTCTGAGCTGCTGTGACAGTAAAGGTATGTGTTGGGGGGGTGGCTGCTGCTGTTGCTGCGAGCCACTGGATCTTGTCCTCACCGGTTGACTTTTTGGCGGCTGTGCTCGACGACTCCGTTGAGGTCTGGCGTTCCACTCCTCCTCCTCCTCCTCATCATCCCCAGCTTCACTGTCATCATCACTTTCTGCTGGTACATGACTTGAAGTCGGCTCTCCTTTACCACGAAGCCGCACAGATGAAGCTCTTGGACGGGAATGGGCAGCTGTAGAAAGGGACGGTTGTCCAGGCATTTCTTTTTCACTTTCGCTCTCTGTGACCCCAAATCCTCCAGCAACTGCTGCACTTCCCTGGTTCTGATCGACTAAGGAAGAAGCAACATCCTAGCGGAAAAATATGAGATTAAAGACAACTTAGTAATGAATTCATAACCAGAGAAATATATAAACAAACACAAATTCATACTAGGGGTGGGACAAAATATTGATATGACGATTTATCGCAATATTGCTAATACATTGCTGCCAAGTATTTATATTTATTTAAATCAATTCAACAGTCAGCATTGTCACGGTTTACCATGTTGGCTGCAGTACACAACCAAGCACCGGGTTGGGTACCGAAACTCGGTGCCATTATAGCAGTGGTACCTTTATAACCAGTATGTACCGGATCAAATCAGCATATGAATTTCGGTGCCACTGGTGCTGTGGCAAGGACGCAAGGAGCATCAAGGGGTGCATCAAATGCACACAATTAATTCTAAACAACTTTGAGGAATATAGACAGGCGATGTCAGGTGTTTGTTCTTGTTGCTTGGGAAACGGACGCACGAAACGCACGCAGTACAGCGCATTCGATGAGCAAGAGCGACTCTCTTCAGATCAACACACATGATCAACATGCAGATGAACATATCATCAAATTTGTTTTTAAACAACCTAAAGCATATTTTACGAGCAAGGATTCTGACACAGCAACGTGAAGCATACGCTTTGAAAATGTTGCGTGTAAGCGGGAAACACGTCAAACGTATTGACACATTTGAGGTCTCAAAGGCAGAGGAATGCACCGTCTCTGACTACTCGGTCTACTTTCCATGAGTACGTACATGGACACTAATGCTACGATTTTAATATGATATGATTTAGACAATACTCTGATTTAGAGTCTAGACTACCATGTAAACTGTGATTTTTGATAACCTTAAAAGGACCACAGACACCTGCATCGACAATGCTGAGGTTTTTTTCTTTCCATTTAACGTGTAGCATCAAATTCCATTAAAAAAGCCCTTTTCCACCAGTTCCCGTGCCAACAAGCTTGCCCCCCCTTCTGGCCCCCCAAAATTTGGATGCGTACTTGTGTGTCAAAACGCCACGTAGAAGCGGGATCAGCCATCTGTGGCAGACTGCGAAGATATGACCGAGGTCTCTCTTTGCGCGCTCAAGGTGTCACTTACACTTGCTCTCTGTCATTACGGTGCTGCACTCATTAGCCTAGTCTCCCGCATTCGTCAGAGGTTGACGCCCAAATGACACCGGTAATAGCGATTTTAACACTTTTAATATAGGAAGTGCTATATCGACTATGCAGAAAGAACAGATGTAACATTGATCAAATGTAGTTTTCAGTCACGCTCATGTAAAAGTCATATTCAACTCGTTTAGTTTGGCAGTTATTCATTTTTTATTTCCATCTTCAACACATGATTTATTTACAACACAATTTTAAACATAAGAATTTAACTAACTAATTTCTAATATCTGCGTTTTTATCTTCCCTATGGTTACAATCAGTGCATAACATTTTACTAGTTATTTTGCAAGACAGTTGTCCCTGCAAGTATTTTATAGTCTTTTATTCAGATTAAAATGCAATTTAAAGACTTAATCAGTTAACTATGAAAGTTGAAATAATTAGTCAATTATGTTGTAACTGATTTGTTGTGTATATCAAAAATATACAGTAAAAATTTCTTAAGGAGGTTAATAATACTGACCTTCAATTTTTTTCATTAAAAACTGCTTTTATTCAAGAAATAAACATTAAGACCCATATACGACTTATTATGACTCCATAATACCTATTTACCTTTTTAGGAGACACTGTGAAAAATTTCAGAAACATTATTTTAAATGAATGGGAGGGCAAAAAAGCAACTTATGTAAACACCTTGATCATATTATTGTCTTATTCAGATTAAGGCCAATCATTAGATTACTGATAACCCTGTAAACATAGTCATAAGCTTCAATCAGAAAAAAATAAGTTCAGAATCTTAAATTCATGCTAACCAACAAGCGATCAAAAAAATATATTAAGGTAATTCAAATATATAAAATATGAATTGATGTTTACTTTAAACTTTAATTATATTGTTCTATTAAAAATATTTTTTTAAAGATTTTGTCTAATAAAAGATTTTTAATCACCATAGTCAATCACCATTATTTTGTGGCTCAAAAGAATCGGTTCAGGCACTGTTACCGTTTTAAAAGTATCAATTTAGCACTGGTATTGAAATAATCCCTAACGATATCCAACCCTAGCACACAAGCATGCAGAAAGTTTGCTTTTGCAGCTTTTCTCAACTTGTGCAACTAAACAAAGGCATTTATGATGTGGATCCAGGAGAAAGGCAATCACTAACAGTGCTGGTTTGGCATCAACTCATACCTGTCAAACTGTACAAGCAATAGGCTATCCTTCTATTCATTATGCTTCTTTTATCAAAAAACATCTGTAGGCACAGGTGGTTGCACGTATTAACACCTGACGAGTAAACAAATAGGCCTATGTGTTGCATATTAATGCAGCAAAACTATAAAAAAAATTTACTAAATAAAATATTTATCCGTTTAACTGATATCATTAGTCGGTTTAAAATGCATCTTTTCGGTTAACGGTGAAATGGTTAATAGAAGCATCCATACTGTAAGCAGCTGTGAATCTCCAGCACGTGTGTTCAGCTGAAGCAGCATTTTCCATAGACGCCATAGTTCTCTGCCAAGCTTCACACAACATTTTATGCGATAGTCAAATCAGAAATAGTCATTATTCAATGTTGAGAGCAGTTTATGTAGCTTCTATGGCCATTTAATGTAGTTATTGCTCTTAATATTAAACCTGAAAGCATGTGCAAAAACCACATACAGCTATGTTTTCACTCAAAACTCACTTCATACCTTTAGTCGAGTGTTTAAAATAAGTCCTTCTGTAAAATTCTGTGTCTCGCACAGAATAAAGCACGCAGCATATTTCCTAATAACATTATAATAGGTAGTGACAGAAGCGCTGCATCGTTACATACTATATTATGAGGAAAATTATGATAAGGAGAACCAGATAAACCAAATGTTGTCGTGGTCACAAGTTTATTAATCCATTGACTCAAATAGAAACAGTTTAATCTAGTTATATCTATTTTAGTCTATTTCCCATAGACTGGGATTTCCTGGGTTACCTAGGGCATTTTTTGTTGCTGTCTCACGAGAGAGAGAGAGAGAGAGAGAGAGAGAGAGAGAGAGATCCCACTCTGGCCTTCTGGAGGTGGGTTACTTTCACAAAAAATGTGATTTTATGGCAATTTATCATTCAGCCCTAGCGACACACACATATCTATGCACATTTACACAGTGTTCAGCATAAATGAGTAGATCCCCTCACAGATCTCTTTTAAATTGATGTTTTCTATAGGATACTTCACAATATTACATTTGTGGATATACATTTGTCAGTACCAAAGCCAAAAGTGGATCTAATTATATGGCCCGTTTCCACTGAAGGGTAAAGTACAGTATGGGTCACCTTTATCAGGCTTGCGTTTCCACTGCCAAAAGGGTTACCAATGGTACTTGGTGGGCGTAATGTATGACAGAAAGTTGTAGTCGCCATCATTCTTGCTCGAGGAACGGGTTCACATGTCATATGAGAAGCACTTCTCACAAAACAGATGCTTTATACACATAAATACTTGCGTATAAATGTTCATTACTAACCTTATTATGAAGATGATTTCTTTATTAACACTACACACAGAATACATTTAGTCCTTATTGAGTTCAAAAACAACATGCAACATATAGCCTGCTGTCAGTGCAAACCTCTCATCTGCATCTTTAATCTTCACCAGCACATGTAACCTCTGTTAGAAGTTAATTCCTTGGTGATAATAATAATTAAACATGGCAGTTTGTTCATGTTTTAACGTTAGGCAGCTGAAAGAATCATTTGCTCTTTTGTTTTTTTGTGCTTCCGATCCTTTCAGAAACGGACAAATGCGAGAGGGATGTCAGAAGCACTTCCATAATCACACACACTATTATCATCAGCTCAAGAAGTTATTCAAATGTAGACATGCACACTAGTTCTCTGGAGAGAGTGAAACCGCTCGCACTTTAGATGGCTTTGTAAACAACGACAGGGCACAGAGTAGATTCTGCTCTTCATCTTGGATCTGTGGCTGTTTATCAAGATGAAAACAAGGTTTGCTTGAGCTCAGGTCGACCGTGGCTCGTTATTATATACATATATTATTACTGTGTAATGTCTCAGCAGTGTATTTAAAAATGGTGCTTCCTTTGTTTTTATTCTCCTGGCTTGTGCATGCGCTAGTGAAGCATCTCTGTAAACCAAGAGCACTCAGCTGTATGTTTTGCTCTGCCTTTTGGAACACTTTTTTTTGTGCTAGGTACCCTTTTGAAAAGGGTACCCAAAAAATGGTACGGTCCGCTTTTTGGTACCTTCTGACAATGGAAATGTTTATAAAAGCGTTCCATACCACTCAGTGGAAATAGGCCAATACAAAATAACTTAAGGTCACAGTGTAAAATAAAGATTGATAAATATTCGAACCTGGTTCGAGGCAGCATGGATATTATCATTGGACTCTGTGTGGTCGCCACGGTCTGTTCCTTGAGATAAAAAAATAAAACAAAATCAGTGTTGATAAAATACATTCACAGTCAAATCTGATCTGTCTTATACACACACACACAAACATATATACATATATATATATATATATATATATATATATATATATATATATATATATACCGTAAGGGTTCTCTAAATGTAAATCATCAAAGTTCACTTACATTTGCAATTTGGAGTAAAAAAAAAAACAGTAAATGAACCTTCTCATTCTGAAGTCATTTTCCACTTGGAATTATAAGGTTCTATCCGCCAGATCATTCATTGAAGCATTGCTTTTCAAGAAAGACAATCAAAAAAATATATAAGTTGGTGTTGTAACAATATGTTGACGCTTAAGAAATTTTAATTTTTGCTTTCTTTAACATTTATTTCATGTTTTAAGATGAATATTTTTTCTTGTTTAAATTAAACATGCAAGGCTGAGCTAAATATTTTTTCCAGCGCAGCTTTTAATTTTATCTAATTAATATGTTAATATTTATAAATTTTATGCTTAATATGAATTATTGAACTATTTTTATTGAATTATATGCCCCATGAATTAAATTAAGTATTTGCCCTTCAAGGCTTAAAATTAAATTGAAAAACTTTAAAAGAAATAGACGATGACCAAATTAGTTTAATAAACACTGAAAAGTGTATCGCTGACTATATGTAAACAAATTAATATATTTTCCATTTAATATATACATTTTTAAATATTAATTTCTTTTTCAACAATGTAAAATGTAACATTTAATCTCAATGTCGGTGATATATACGATCACCTCACAATAAGAAGGTCGCTGATTCGAGCCTCAGCTGGGTTAGTTGCCATTTCTGTGTGGAGTTTGCATGTTCTCCCCGTGTTCAGTCCAAATATAAGTTTAAATATGTGCGGTACAGGTGAAATGGGTAAGCTAAAATTGTCCATCGTGTATGTGTGTGTGAGTGTGTATGGGTGTTTGCCAGAGATGGGTTGCAGCTGGAAGGGCATCCGCTGCATAAAACATATGCTGGATAAGTTGCCGGTTCATTCTGCTGTGGTGACCCCAGATTAATTAAGGGACTAAGTCAAAAGACAATGAATAAATGAATGAATCTCAATGTCAAGAAATGCTTTTAAATCATCACATTGACACACATCTCAATTTTGTGTGGTGCGGCATTATTTAGCCGACTCTGATTTTGTATGATTTTGTCTTTCTTGTTTCTCCCGCTGTCAATAGCCGCATTTTGGACATAAACACTTGTTTGAGGACACAGAACACATTTTTCCCTAATGCGTTTAAAGCGGCGCTGCGCAGGACTGGGTGACAGAAAAAAAAAGTAGGCTAGATTCTGCTTTTACTCACATAAAAAATGCTCTGTTTGCACGATTTGATTAATATTATCATATCCAAACACTTTATAAATAATATTTCAAACCTTCTCCGGTGTTTATTGTTTTTAGAAATATCTAAAATCTTTTTTTTTTTTAGATAGGTCTTTGTAAAATGAAAGTTATATGTGGCTTTAAAACAGTTTGATTTATGTATTGTATAGGCAACCTACTTTGTTATAGCTAGCTTTTGTTTATTTTATATTGGTTTATTTATTTAATGCGATTTTAATATTTCCGATATTTGTAATTCTTTCAATTATATTTCAATATAGCTTAGGCTATTTTATCAAGATATGACAATATATTGTGTAAAGTCTACGAAAGTGGGCACATAATTTGTTAAGTTTTATGTATTTCTGTTGTATATTATGTTCAAAATAAATTTTAAAAAGCCGCGCAGCATCAACACAGCTGTAAAGGGAGCGCTCTTTTTCTCTCTCACACACACATACAGGAATTTAAACGTGCACAAATACACCTTTTAAACTTAACAAAAACTCTCGAAAACCTTTACTGTCTGCTGTGTCTTTAATATGGTGTAAAAATTATAATGCGTTATTGAAACATCAAGGAGGACGCAGCAAAGAACGTCACTATAAATTAAAACTACTTTATTATTTTATGCAACACCCTTACATTTAAAAGGGAAACATAAGGGTGATCATACGCAAAAAGACCCCATTAGGCTAGATGTTTTCTTTTCCTTATTTATTGATTTGTTTGGCGCATGTACTCATGTGCGATCCGAAAACTGTGCCCGCCTCTTCTTTCACTCCGCCCCGAAGCCCCAGTTGGCCCTCTTTGGCCCAAGATATTCGGCAGTTCGAAAAAGGCCGGCCGCTGGCCCCAAGAAAGCTCCGATTGTTTTAAAAATGCTGATGGCTCACAGAAAGAACCTTATAGAGCCAAGCTAGAGGTCGACTTTGTAGATAAAACCTTTTTTGTTTTTTAAATAAAAAGTCTTAAAATGTAAACAACTTATTAATATTATTTGATCTTTTATTTATAAGTTGTCATTTAACAAGAATGTCAATAACTCAATTTTGACAAAAATGTCAGATAGAACCTTATAATTCTAAGGTGACGATTTGTTGAGTGTGCTTAGTATTTCCACAGTTCACTTTACCACAGTTTCAATGATGAAGAGTTTGTGTTGGTTAACAACATCTTTAACACATTCAACTTAAAACAACACATACTGTTACAATTTGAGCTATTTAATATCACCATCATTCACTCACCATCAGTTTCAGCTGCCTCTCGTGCCTCTTTTTCCAAACGCTGTCTCAGAAGCTCTTGCTGTTTGGCCAGGTACTGCTTAATGAAGCTATTCTGACTCATTTCCTCCCCGATCTAAACAAACACACACGCAATGCAAAATGGTATGAGTGCTGTAGTGCAGTTAGGCCATCCAAACAAGAACAAATTTATTTCAACAATACATCACAGATCAGCTCACCCGGGAGTTGGGCTGCAGGCCAATGTGTGGAGTGGAGGTTTTCTGAAGGTTCTCCAGCATGAGAGCCTGTTGCACATGCAAAATAACAGAAACACAATTCAACATCTGTACTAATATGCAATACTGCGACTTGTGCACTTAAAACTTACATTTTCAGGTGGTTCTAAACATTTATGAGCGTTTTCCTTTTCCTCAACATTATTTATAATATAATGTATAAAATCATTTACATTATTTATAATTTTGGATAACAGTCTACTTTGACTTCCGTTGTGTAAAATAATATGTAAGCCAATGGGAAGAAGCAACCTTTTGGTTACACGTGATCAACAAAAAACGTCTGTTTATCGGAGTAAACGAATACAGGTTTTAAACAAATGTATGGCGAGTAAACGATGTCAATTTACATATGAGAGAAATGTCTCTTTTACGTTATGAACACATGAATGAGCAGTCATTTGTTGATGGTATGAGGATTGCATAGACCCGACTGAACGATCGGCAGTCATCGTGAATCCAAAATCATATCACTTACATGGATTAATGTATACTCTAATTTCTTCATATCCCAAAATAAAAAATTGCACAAAATGTGATAAAGAATCTAATCGTGAAGGTGACAGACATTTGTTTACATCTGTCCAGTAACAGAAACTTCAGATCAAACTTCAAAGCAGCTGTGGCGCGCGACACATCAATCAATCAAATTCTCCCACCGACGCAAAGCAACCGCTCTGCGACTTCACTGTTTGTTTCAGCAAAAGCACATGCCATTCAAGCGTTAAGACGTGTTTAGTCTTTCGAAAACGTCATAAAAAAATAAAAACAGACTTTTTGGCAAGCGCGTCCCCGTTTCATAACCCCCACCCCCCTAACACCTTATGCACTAACAAAGCGCGAGCCCGCCGACAACTTAAAAAGCTCGCAGTTCACAGCCATCCAGAGACTTGTAAACAGAAGCGCATCGCCAGACCCCGCTGCGAGGTCTGCGCCCTCCCAAAACTCTAATGTACGGCAAATAAACAGCACTTTTGCAAGTCACACACAAACGCACAAACAGGCATCAACGGGGGGAACATGATGACACTCTACAAACTGGATGAGCACCCCAGCTAGTGCGCGCTAGCAGCTAGCGAGAGACCACCGACGCTCGGCCTCCCAATCACGGTCCTCGGACTCCGCGGAGCCGAGAAACCAGCGACTCACACTTACCCCTTTGAGTCTCTTGACGAGGGCATTTTTCTGTCCGCTCTTCGGAAGCCCTCGCTCTTCCAATGCAGCCTTCAAGTCCGCTACCCGGAGCGAATGCAGCGGCCTCCCGTCCAGCGTAACATCTTCGAGGTCCGCCATCTTGATTCCCTTCACTCGTTCTGTAGCTTGCGCGGACCGCAACGCCTTCCTCATTGACGTCAGCGCGCAACGAGCGTTTCCGGAAAAGGCGGAGTTGAAGCGCACTCAGGCAGAACAACATCAAGTTGTTTGTTTGGTGTTTTATCAGGTTAACAGGCAGTATACATGCATTTTTGCGTTTAGATCACATTAGGCACGATTAGATCGCACATTATTAATTGATTTTCAGACATTAGGCAAGCAAAGAGGATATTCTCTGGTAGTCAGCTGTTGGTTTGCCAACCAATTTTCAATAGAAACCCGGTAAACATTGTTTCATTTATTCGCCTTAAAGTAGTTCCAGTCAAGTACTTATGAGTTTGATTTGTCTTTTGAACACAAAATAAGTGTTTATTCTTCAAAAGTGGGCTCAAAAGAAGAAATTCAAAGAGGTTTGTACAAGGATTGAGTGAATAATAACAGAAATTAAAATTTGAATGAACCATCCCTTTAGTTCTGTGTTAATCTTGTTTCATATTCTCAGAAAATCAGGTTGGAATACTGAAAATGTGTGTTCAATATTGGGGGCGGGACTTTAATGCACATTAATCTACTACGTTTTGGTGTTTGAAAATAATAATCAGCATCAATAAAAATTCTAAATTTAGTCCTCTATATTACTCCGAATGTATTAATGAATTAGTATTTTTTGTTCTTTTTCAATAAACTAGATTTTGGATTTGATATTGTGTTCCCAAGTGGCGCAGATTCAATTCATTTATTCGGTTCTTTTGAACTGCTCGTTTAAAGTGATTCAGTTTAAACGAAATCAACTCAAAGCAGTTTAGCTAGCTCTTTTATCTTTGGCTGTAAAGTGTTATTATTGTAACGTTTTGTACATTCATCATCAACATATGCTTCACTAGCTATACTGACAAGGTCAGAGTCGGTACCGAACCACTGGTAATCATTCCGTTTTGCCTGTTTATATTTAGTGAAGTGCCAGTCAACTTTATTTTTTATGAACCATCACAAGGACCAGGGTTTCAGCAAAAAATCTTCAGCTCTTTTTAGGGAAATTAAAGTCAAACATAACGTTACAACATTGGGTTTCCAAAGGGTGAGTAGATTAACATAAAATGCTCATTTATGGCCGTCAACTACACTTTAAAATGTCGTTAATTTGATCAGCGCCTGCTTGAGTTCGATTCTTCAGCGAGATGTCAGCCTGGCTTTGTAAACTGAAAAGATCCGATCCACAATGATTCGTTGGGGGTAGCAGGAGCTCCATGGCAGATGATGAAAGCGGCAGCGGCTCCGCTTGAGCTTCTTTGCGGCTCCTCGACCGTATTTACTATCTGGTTACCGACGATAAAAGCAACAGCCTGATTTTTTTTCGACGTAATGTGAGAAAAATCGACCAAGAAAAGGGTAACATTTTGATTCAAGTGACTCGTTACTCGTTTGTTTTGGTTAGCGAGCACAGTGTGTCTTGACAAGGAAGTGAATACATGTATCCTACTACAGTCATTGTAACATGCAAATTTTATATTTTAACGAACCGAATTATGATGTAGGCCTACGTGGTTTAAATCTTCCAGTTATTAAATCGCACAACAGCATCAAGGCAATCTGTTTCTTTTAGATTAGTTCAGTAGCACCAATGATAAACTGTTGATATCCTCCTTTTTATGTCATTATGCAGAAATGGCTTGGTTCCACCATGCTTTGCAAGGCTCGGGCCAGCCAGATGCACCCACCGTGGAAGATGTGTCCCATACACAGGTCTCTATGCACACCATTACCCAGTTAGGAATGTCTGATGGACAAGGTTGGTCAACCCTCCCTTCGGTCTCCATCTCAGACTTTCCCTCTGCCTCAGGAGGAATTGTCCCCCAGCGACTGGAAGCTCTGTCCTGCACATCTCTCAGCATGGGCTCCAGACAAGATCCTGTGCCGCTGTCTTTTGTGACGCTTCAGGAGCAAAGATGTGTGCTAAGCTGGTTTTTGGGATGGAATGTTGCTCAGAAACAACGCTTTCTGGAAGATCTGATCTCAAAGGCTGTACCTGGAAAGGTGTCTAGTTTATTAGACCAGCTCAACACACTACAGGTGCTTTATTTTGGGTGTATGTCAAACTTAATAGCTTTGTCTTTGGTGGTTGATTTTTCTGTAATTAAAGGTTCAGCCACCCACCATTATGTTGATCTAAACCATTGAGAGTTTTGTTCATCTTCAGAACACAGATTATTATATTTTAGATGAACTTCGAGAGGTCTCTCGTTCACCATAGACAGCAATGGTCCCGAATCGTTACAAAAGTCCAGAAAGGTACGACAAAAATCCTCAAAACCAAACATATGTTGTTGCAGTGGTTCAATCTCAAGATTATTAAGCATTGAGAATACTTTTGTGCACACATGAAACAAAAATAATGACTTGATTCAACAAATGTCTTTTCAGTATAGGGTGTGTGCGTTCATATGCACTGTGCAGTGACGTATACCCCAAAATCCTGCACATGATTTTCTTTGTGTGAAAGAAAGCTCAGGTGAATCTGAGGCTTTTGTCAGAGGTACGACACGCATACAAACAAAAGGACAGTACCCCTGTGAATGCATGGTCTAATACTGACACTAATGCCTAGTTCACACTAAAGGATTTTAAGCCTGATTTGAGCCCGATTTGGAAGTTAACGAGCTCGCCGACAGATCGGGCTGTGATCAGGAAGAAATCTGCGGGTGCTCGCCGCTCGCCGCTCTTTATGTGTGAACTACTGAACAACGCATCAGCGAGGCTCGCTGACGCGTCGCCGACACCTCGCAGACGGAAATCCAACATTCAGCATGCTAAATATTCCAGAGCAGTCGGCCGACTCAACCCCACGTGTGGTCAGATGTAGTGACGAGCTGCAGCCAATGAGAGAGCATATCAGCATGAGCTGAATGCCTGTGTGTTCAGGAGCTCAGCAGAAACATCTGTGATTGGTCAGAATGGGCATCGGTGCACTCGCTTCATTCTACGTTAACACAGACATGAGAGTAGGCTATATTAACAGTGGAACTAGAATTCTGTAACTATTAAAATTACCATACTGCTCATTCTGACTGTTCTCATATAAAACGCCATACTGTCATATCATATTTACATTCAAAGCTATTATTGAATTATTAAAATTAAGCTTTGAATGTCTGGCATCATATTTAATGACACCATTACCCTAAAAATATAATCTTTTTTTTGGTAATACAGCCTATAAATATGTAGTTAAGATACTAAAACACTTAAAGGTCTTGGCTTTCATTTTCACTTTCAAACAGGAGCTATTTCACAGCACAGAATATGCTGTTTTGAAAGATATCTGAAGTAAATTGATGTTTTTGCCATCAGAAAGTTTTGTTTATGTTAGCAGGAAGAAAATGCACACATATTTAAAGTCACAGCGAAAAGTATCAGACATGCATGCAGTCATTTTGACCAATATGGTAATTTAAGGCAGAAATGCTCAGTTCTTTACTGTTTTGTAATAAAAAAATAACAATGTCAGAAAGAAATACACTGATAGTTAGAAAGCGGCAGGGTGTTATAAATATGTTAGTTTTTTTTCCAAAGAGTAATAAAATTACAAACTCTCTGTGTATCTATCCACTGGAACCTGCAGATGAGTGATTAATCCGCTGATAAATCAGCTGATTTGAGATGTTTTTAAATGCTTTCTCTAAAGCTTGAAACGCTGTCAGTGATGTAATCAGCACACAAGCAGCCAATAGTGTTCAGCTTTTTCTGACGACTCCTCCCTCAAAATTTCATTGGCTGTGGTTTGGTAGCTTAAATGAGCTGATGGGGAATGAGTTGTTGTCAGATCATGTAGTGTGTGACCCCCCTCTTGTGGATCATTCACAGAGTGTTGCGTAGTGTGAACACCACAGAGATTAAAAGACACAAAGTCAAGTCAAGTCATGTAGTGTGAACGGCACAGCGATCTGCCGATGTTTAAAATTCTGTAGTGTGAACTAGGCTTAAGGAGAAGAAACTGGTCTGTTTTTAGCATGTTTCTAGTATTTTTCTGGACTTTTAATGTCTATAGAGGATGAGGGGGCTGTCAGATTTGATCTTAAATATTGCAATTTGTGTTCTGAAGACAAACAAAAGTAAAAAAAAAAAAAAGAGGGGAATTTTGGGGTGATTGAACACTTTTATGGTTTAGCTTACCTCAAAATTAACATCTTCCTAATTTACTTACCCACATGCACAACACTTTTGTTTCTTGGAAGCTTTTTGCCTCAACTTTAAGTGTTTTTTTAGTCAACTTATTTCTTGTCGTTTTCTTTTCGATGTTTCAGGTGAACGATCGCCCTCCCAACATTTTTGAATGCCAGTTAAGACTGTGGACTCAGTGGTTTGATTCATGGAGTGAAGAGGAGAGAAATGCCTTTTTGAACTGCTTGGAGGAAAAGGACCCGACTTTTGTTGCGTTCTTCTATAACCAAGTTGCCGGAACGGCAGGCAGAGATTGAGAGTTTTCATAAAACAATTTTTGGTTCTTTGCCTTTTTCACTCTTGTAGGTGAACACGAAATCAAGTCTTATGGACAGCTAAAGGCTTTCAGAACAGCAATGTGACTATTTCAAGTATAATGTAAAACGTTTTTCTAAAATAAAACCCTTTTCACCATGTGTGTTTTTCCTTGAGCACTTTATTTTAATGTTACCCAATAAAAAAAAGTCATCATTTGCTAACCCTCACAAAAACTCATTAATCTTTGGAAAACACACAAGGATCATTTCAAAGGGATAGTTCACCCAAATAAAATAAAAATACTGTCTTTATTTACTCACCCTTACATTGCTTACGGGTTTTTCCTCTGTTAAACACAAAGGAAAATATTTTGGTAACACTTTATTTTAATGGTCCCTATTGCACATTTTGTTGACTAAAAGTTGCAATCCAACTACATGCCAATTTTCATTTGAGTGTTAGTAGACTGTTTGCTTAATATTTGTTAATACTGCATCAGCAGACTCCACCAAACTTTGCAAGTACATGTTAACTTACACTAACCCCAACCTAACAGTCTACTTATAATCTATTGAAAATTAGTTAGCAATGTAAATTAAACTGACATTCAATAA